AGCAGTGCCAGGTAGTAACTGGTTAAATGTAATCTGGATTACGTAATCAGATTCCAAAAATGAACTACTTATTAATATAATTGATAATAATAGTAATTATTATTTTAAAATAATTTTATTATTTAAAAGATTACCTTTTTTTAATAAGTGATAGATTTTTTTATTTTTAAGGTTTATTGTAAAATTATTTATTGTACATTTTTATGATATATTAATCATTACTTTTCATCAGCTCACAAACCTCCTGAATTTCCTTCATGTTGCTGACAAAAATGGAATACGTTTTCTTTCTTTATAATTTTATAGATGTTATATTTTATATAGATATTTTTTTTATATAGAATAGAAATCTGTCAACTCAATGTAATAAATGAGTTTGGTCAAAAGTTATCAAAAAGTAATCTGAATACATTACCTAAAATGTGTCATCTAATAGATTACTAACTACAGTTTTCGTCATGTAATTTGTAATCAGTAACAGTAATCTACCCAGCACTGTATGTTAATGAGGCTTTATCTTTATGAACAATTATGGCAAAGGGATCTCAAAATAATATTACCACCTCTTAATCTGCACGTTCCACCCATGGCGCCGTCATTTTGATTTCGCAAGCAACAGCGGTGTACTAGTTCTAATGCCATGGAGAAAGTTTGAGCAAAACATGCTAACGGTTCTGTCTTTGGCTGCACAGACAAGCACAGAACACCGTTTAGAGTCCGAGCCTCAGAGGAGACAACAACGCATGATTTCAGCACGATAAACATGACAATCAGAACCAAAACATGTTTTTAGCAGGTCCGAGCTGTAATGGCTCTATTCTGGAAAAGGGGGCGGGGAGCAGCAGCTCATTTGCATTTAAAGAGACAGGCCCGAAAAACAGCGTGTTTCTGCTTCCACTCAAAATAGGCATTTTCAGAATGATATAATAAATGATCTGTGGAGTATTTTGAGCTGAAACTTCACAGACACATTCTGGGGACACCAGAGACTTATATTACATATTGTAAAAAGGGGCATAATATGTCTCCTTTAAACTCTGAACCGCAGGTCTATCTCACTGGCTAAGAGGTGGTGCTCTCGCTCCGAGTGGATCCGTATGGACACGGCGCCCTTCTCCTCTCTGAACCGTGATGCCGGGGTTCTGCTGGGACTAGGACTTGCACAGTACTGGAAGCCAGGTGGATGGGCTCTTCCATGGGTTCCCAGGACTCTCTGTCTGGCCCTCTCGTCCATAGCCCTCCACTACATCAGCAGTTTCCCCGTGCCCACCGTTCCTCCGCTTCTCTTCTACTCGCTGTTCTTTCTCAAATACAGCATTGTGCCGCAGGTGGTCATGGTGTTGGTGCCAGGATTTGTGCATCTTCTCACAGCCAAACCCAAGAAGGAGTAAAAGTGAATGTCGCAGCTTTTGGTGTTTGAACCAGCCATCAAAACAGTAAGCTCTTGACACAAAAAGAACCATCAGCTTGAAGATCAATCATATATGGAGTTCTGTTCTGTTCTGAGCTTTAAAGAATGTTTTTGGAGCAGAAGTGAAAAGGATTGCTGCACTGCATAAACATTTAGTTTGTGCCAAAGAAAGTCTTGAGTAAAAATGTTTCTTGTTGCTGTTGTTCTTTGATGATTCTTTTAAAAAGTACTTTGTAAAAGGCTGTTCTACTTCGGTTGTTGACTCTGTTATTAATTTTTTTCTTTTAAGTTACTTGAATTGTCTCTTCTTGTGTAGAAACCAAAATATTTTTTTGGTTATAATAAACTTGCTTATAAGCAAAAACAACATTTTCTGTGAAGAACGTAAATGGTCTTCAAAACTCGCCACGAAGACGTTCGTTTTCCAGCATTTGCTAATTATGATTCTAAGGTGTTTTAGATAGTTGCTTAGGTGTTTAGAGTGGTGTTCAAAAAAGGTTCAGGGGCCTCATTTATAAAATGTGCGTACGCACAGATTTGATCTTAGAGTGTGCGTACGCTAAAATCCAAGACAACGTTCATATTTATAAAAACGGTCTTTGACGTGGAAAAGTACTTAGCACCACGTCAGGGTCTGAGTAGGCGTACGCACTTTTCCTTGTGGCAAAGTCGGAGTACTGCAGCTTTTTGAACATTTAAGCTGCAATAATAATAAAAGCGGTGTACGTTCAAGCACCGAATTCATCATAAACAGCAAAGATGCAGTGTAAGAGATTAATTGTGCAGTCAGTGTAGGCAGATTTTTTACTAACGGGAATTTTTGCGAGATTAAACTGACCTTTTTAGTAGCCTAATGTTGAGAGTTCTTTAGGCCTACTCGCACGCTTTCTGTACACAGTTTATTCCAAGTCAAGTCAAGTCTGCTTTATTGTCAATTCTTCCACATGTACAGCACATACATACATTCCATGTTGTTTTTTATTATTATTATTTTATTTCACAAGATTATTTCACTTGCGAAGTCTTGATTTACTACTAATGCGTAAAATAGATACATCAGTTATATTTGTATAAAATACACTATATATTTTTGTGTCAGTACATTAATGAGCAGCATTAGTAAACTGTGTAAATATAAAGAAATGCCAAATCACATGCAGGCTTTTTCATACAGGAGACCATAATTGTGTAATAATTTATTTTATGAAACGTCCAATTTTTCTTTCAATAATGTTTTTTCAAGTTTTGCAAGAATTTTGTGATACTAAACTTTTTATTAGTTGTCATAGCAAGTGATTTTAAAAGTAGGATGGCTCACTTTTTTTAAGATGACTGAAAATTGTACTTGACCTCAATTTCAGACTCAGTAAAGTTTTTTTTCTTTGTGCTCGTCATTCTCAAGCATAGAAATTTGGATATTGACGTGTGCTCTTTCATATGGTAATGACATTAATTAGGGGGCGTTTACAAGGCGGAGATTTAACACCAGCCAGCTGCGAACAATTTCAAGATTTTTGCGATTTATAAATGTCACATCTGGAAGAGAGGCATACGCACGTGTTTTTGTGCGCACGTTCGTTTTCTCTGAATACCATACTTACACACTTTTGAGAAATTATCTTAGAACAAATTTAGGACGGTTTATACGCAACATTTTATAAATGAGGCCCCTGGTCTCTGGTCCATAGATATAGCTAGAGGATTTTTATCATTTTCCAGATGAAAATCAAGTTTGATCACATAGAAATGTAATAGTCTCTTCTCAACAGCCAGTATGATTTGAGGTATCATACATGACTGTTTAAAGGAATAGTTCACCCAAAAATGAACATTTTCTCAAAATGTAGTCACCCTCAGACCATCCAAGATGTAGAGGAGTTTGTTTTTTCATCAGATTTGGAGAAATGTGGCATTCCATCACTTGCTCACCAATGGATGCTCTGCAGTGAATGGGTGCCGTCAGAATGAGAGTCCAAACAGCTGATAAAAACATCACAATATATAAACATGCAGCTTCTCACTTCATAAGATGTTAATTGATGGACTGGAGTGGTGTGGATTACTTGTGGATTATTGTGATGTTTTTATCAGCTGTTTGGACTCTTATTCTGACGGCACCCATTCACTGCAGAGGATCCATTGATGAGCAAGTGCGAGCAAGTCTGATAAAACAAACTCATGAAAATCTGGATGACCTGGGGGTGAATACAAATTTTTATTTTTGGGTGAACTATTCCTTGAATACTTATGATACTTGTTTAATGGTTTGATTATTAGCAGTTAACATGTAACATCTGAATATAAAGTACAGTCAAACCACAATAAAAGGAATATTAGGAGCTCGACCAGTGTTATACATTTCTTATATTGAAACTATTAATAAACATAAACCATATAAAAAGGACAAGTGACATGATAAAAACACATTCTGGTTTATTGAAGTCATTAAACGTTGTCACAGCGCTCTGAAAGCTCACATTTACAGACGAGAAATTCTGCTTAGCAAGCAAGTACATTAAAATCAACTCAAATCTAACTGAAAGATAAAAAGAATGGCCAAACCCTTTAGAGGTAAATGTCACGTCTCTACTGTTGAGTTTGGTGGAGATGAGTGTGAGATTTCTTTTTTCGTCGGTTGTGAACTTTATTTCTGTTTAGTTCTTCTATTGGAGACATATGGCAGATTCACGAATGTCTGTGTATGTCGAATTCAGAGGGGGATGGAGGGTAAATCATGCGTCAGGTTATGTACAGCAAAAATAACTTGCACTGAAAAACCACACCACCCTAAAGAGGCTCTTGACAAGCCCACATCAGAGTCCTGTGTTCTCAAGTGTTATTTATTTAGCTTTTCCCCGAAGCTGACCACGAGGCATCTCTCAATTCAAGCAAGTTTACACTGACAGCAACAGAAAGGTGAATATGGTTGCCTTTAAGACAAGCTGTCTAGATACCTGTCCATATGCTGTATTTTTGAGAAGATCTGACCAAAGCCACATTTAAGCTCGGCATGTTAATAGTATTGCAATCTGAAGCAGAGAACTTCAAAAGGAACTAGCTGAATATTGTATTTTTACACGACAAATACACTATTTCAAAACAGCTGGTTTACTTTTCGGTAGTGTGTGACGCCACTGAACTGTGTTTGACACGTGAGGCTCATCAAGTCCTTGACACGCTGCATTTAGCGACGCATTTGCAAAGGAGAGCAGGATTTTGTATGCATGAACACATTTGGCCACTATATACAGCAAGTACACTGCGCTCTATAAAGGCTGTTATATACACTTTTTTATATCTTTTTAAAAACATAATCTTGCTCTTTTATATTATTGTTCATTAATTTGCTTGAAAAATTAGAATTGCACCAAGGACAATAACTGCTATTTGTTTTCTAGTAGTACAGCTAATCACAGGTTATTTTCCAGTGTTCACCGAACGTTTGTTAGTAAGGACGTCCCGTCCCGTCCCAGATCCAAAACAAAAACAAAACAACAACAACAAAAAAAAAACATCTCCAGCCCCTCAATATTCACATTCCATACAATCCTTACAAATGAATAAAGTGCTCTCTTTCTTCATAATGCACAGACAGTCAGTGCAGACCAAAGTTATGAATAAAAGTTTAAAAGTTAAAACAAACATACTTCACTTGATATACTGACGCTTCTTAGAACAATAAAGAAACTGAAAAAAAGAGAAGAAATTCTATTACTACCTTGCAAACGCCCCTGAAACTTTGTGTTGCGTAGTATACATACTGTAGAGTTCATAAGACGTCTATGGTGTGATACATTCTTCAACTTGAAATACGGCAGGATTGCCACTCCAGTACTTGGTAGTTAACTGAACTCATTTTGTAAATAAAGACTAAGCCATATCCACAAAATGTGAGGGTTACTTGAAAATCATATTAAGCTTATTCCCAAAAAATTGTTTAAACTAATATTATTGCCACACTACAACTGTGAATTTTGACACAAAAAATATTTCTGCTTGAGAGCCAGAAATGTAAGGTAATAACTGTAAAGACAATAATCTCTGGTCATAAACTCATTATTTTGAAATCATTATTTTTTTAAATAGTTGATACCGTTTCCAAAAGCCCAAATCAATAAATACGAAATTAAAGACAAAAAGAAAACAAAATAAACCTGACAGGAAAGCTGCTTTAATATTTCTATACATCATATAACTTAATTATAAATATTCCTCTTTTCCTTCTATAACTACAACTTAGTTTTTCTGAATCAGATTTTCACTTTTTACAGTATTGAACAATTCAACAATATCATGTTCAGAAAGCCTAGCAAATCTGTTTAGGTTCATTGGGAAGAGAGAGAGTAGGATTAGGTGAGGAAGGAATGCGTTCAACACATAGATTGCCAGTTTCATATCTGCTTTAGTGCTGGGAACAATGGCAAGACACACTATTCTTCTGTATGTGGCCTCTGCTGTGGAACGTCAATAAATGTGCTTTCTTATATAATGTGCAGAGCTTTAAAGAACATTTTTTACTTTAACGTACTGTATTCTAATACTCCAAAAGGGTGCTGTCTGAGTTTTTACCAACAGATTGAGTTGACCTAAAGTAGGCACATGTATTTGTACACAGGTATTTGTAACACTGTTTTTTAGTTAATTAAAAGTATTTCTCCTGTGCAGTTTCCTCTACTTGAAATACTGGCTTTAATAACCTGCACCTACACAGTCCCTTACGTAAGACCTGACACAAACATTCACTGTCACTCATACCTTTGTGCCCACCCTTTTGGGTGCCTGTTAAACATTTGACTCCACAAAGGGTCTCTTTGGTTTGATGGGCGAGGTGGGACCTTGTCTGGCATCACGGGAAAGCTGGCGGTACATGTTCTCCTGGTACGCCTGTGCCACGGGCATTGTCCGCGCTACCTTAACATCCTGGTACGTTGGTGCCTGGCTCACTCGCTCCAGGAAGTCTCGATCACGGGCCCCTCCATTGGCAAGCTTGCCCAGGGAGGATGGCTGCGGCTGTACATAGTACTCTTCCTCTAGCATGTGTCCATTTTGGGCATTATTGGTCTTATTGTAGTAGGCAATATTGCCTAGAGATGTAGGTGGGCTGTAGGAGGAAGCGGTGGAGGCTTGGTGGATCAAATTACCAGGCGACGTGGGGCTAGTGATAACCGATTCCAGAGATGACACAGGCCAGGCCCGGGAAGGCTGGTGAAGGTACTGCTGCTGAGTC